CTTTTCAATATGGCATCTTTACCATTTAGGATGGGGGGTTCGACTTAGAACGAGAGGATTAGATAAGTGAAAGAATTAGAGCACGTTTGAAGTGAATCCAGAGATTGTAGAGTTACCTTACTATCTTACAAAGCTATTAACTTCAGGGGGGGTAGAGAGAGTGCAGGAATAAGGACAGGAATATATCCCCTTAACAGTAACAGGCGCTTGCCTTTCCTTGAAGGTACAGAGCCATGAGTGAGGCAAAATGACTGGAGAAACGAACATAAAGAGAAACCCCTCCTAAAAACAAAAAATAATAAAAGAAGTCTGAGTTATTCAGGAGCTGGTATAAAAAGGGAGATGAGGGACACTATGGTGGAGCAAGAGACTGAGTCAGAGAGAGAGGACAGAAAAAAGAAGAAAGAAATTTTAGGGTGGAATGAGGAAGAAAGAGAAAAGAGAGAGGGAAAGAAAAAGAATTTGAAGGTCCTCTTTCAGGCTATCTCTGATCTCATATTATACCACATGCACAGTCATATGCGGAACCCAATCCCCTGGTCTTAGCTAGCCAATGGCTGTTCCTCACGACTGAGACTGAACACAATCTACAAAGCCTAACTTTAGTTTCCTTACCCTCAGGGTTGAACTCCACTCCGTTCTATTACAGGTTTCCCCTGCCCTTTCTTTAAAGATGTTCAAAGTTGGGAGCTCAGAAAACTACCCTTCATGGGAACCTATGCCTCTTCAGAGTTGGTCTAAAGACTGGCCCGATCAGGAGTTTTGAGAACGGGGGGGGTGTTTCAAGGGCACCCTCGCGGCTACCTTCCTTCTTGGTCTGTTGTCCCACAGGCCGGGAGCTCCCGCGCAGGCCAGGAGCTCGCACGCACGCCACCGGGTGATCGCAGGCAGGCAGGCAGACAGGCAGCTGAAGAAACCCCCTCCGGGGTCTTTGGGGCCGTCCTGGTCTGTTGTCGCGCAGGCCGGGAGCTCGCATGCATGCCGCCGGGTGATCGCAGGCAGGCAGGCAGGCAGGCAGCTGAAGAAACCCCCTCCGGGGTCTTTGGGGCCTTCCTGGTCTGTTGTCGCGCAGGCCGGGGGCTCCCCAAGAGTTAGTCTTTTAATTCTTTATCTAAATTTTCATCTACTTCAATATCATTGAAGTCAGTAACTCTAGAATTATAAATTTTCAAAGGACTCATGTTTCTTCTTTTTCATATTTCCTTTATTTCTATGATGAAAGGAATATCTTGCCTATTTTTATATAAGGACCTTTCTCTGGAACAGCCTTCTCCTTGTATGTGTTCTAGGATATTGGGTGGTTGTGAAATGTTGAATGTATCCCTGGATGGGTTTCAAAATACAAGTTTCCCTAGTGTTACTTCCCTAGTGGTGTTTAGTGTTTTTTGACGCAGTGCAATACATTAGTGTGTAAAGGTCCTGTTTGCTCTGTAAGTCTCTCAAGTATAGGGTCCTTCTAATGGATTAGGCAATTATGTTTTAGACACTGAAGTATACGAGTCGTGGGGCATGTATATTTTATGATAAATGACTACGTGGAACTAAAATTCACAGTGGTTATTTTAAATAGTTGGCTTAAAGATTTCTCTTTATCTTTCTATTTTTTCAGTATTTAGTACAGGGCCAGGGATTTAGCTCAATAGTTCTGCCTCCTGCCTTGCAAGTGCAAGGATCCAAGTTTGATTCCCAGTACTGAAAAAAAAATTTTATTCCAAGATAGACCACATACTAGCTCACAGAACAGGTTTGAATAAATGCAAAAGAATTGAAGTATATTATCAGATCACAGTGCAATTAAGTTGGAGATCAATAGCACAAGAAACTGTAGGAACTTCACAAGCACATGGAAAATGAACAACACTCTCCTGAACAATCAATGGATCACAGAGGAAATTAAAGAAGAAATCAGACAGTTTTTACAAATAAATGAAAATGCCAATACAACATACAGGAATTTATGGGACACAATGAAAGCAGTTCTTCTTGGAAAATTCATACCACTGAATGCCCACACTAGGAAAACAGAGTGAGCTCAAATAAACAATCTAACAATGAATCTTAGACTCTTAGAAAAACAAGAGCAAGAAAAACTCAAAGCTTAAACAAGAGAGGAAATTATAAAGATTAGAGCAGAAATCAATGCAATGGAAACTAAGAAAATGATATAAAAAATAAATGAATGGAAGAGTTGTTTTTTGAAAGAATAAATAAAATTGATAAACCCTTAGCTAACCTTATCAAAAAAAGGAAAGAAAAGGCACAGATACACGCAATCAGGAATGAAAAAGGTGAAGTCACAACAGATCCAACAGAAATTCAGAGGCTAGTCAATACCTAGTTTGAGAACCTGTTCTCTAATAAAATAGAAAACACAGAAGAAATGGACATATTTCTAGATACTAATGAATTACCAAAGTTGAACAAAGAAGATAAAAACATTTTAAACACCCAATTACAGTCAGTGAAATTGAAAATGTAATTAAAAGTGTACCAACAAAGAAAAGCCCAGGTCCTGATGGTCACTGCTAAATTTTACAATACATTTAGAGACGAACTACTGCCATTACTCTTCAAACTTTTCAATGAAATTGAAAGGGAAGCAATACTTCTGAATTCATTCCTGGAAGCAAGTATCACTTTGATTCCCAAACCAGGGAAAGATGCAACAAGATACATATTGAGGATATACTCCTAAGTGAAATAAATAAATCACACAGGTGTAAATACTGAGTAGTTTCTCTGTTGTGAAAAGCTATAATAGTACATAAGATCCTAATGAGATAATTGACAATGTGAAATAGGAAGAAAAGGGCTAAAGGTGTAGGGAAAGTGGGAAGGGTAAGGGAAAGGTAATAAGGGAAAGGAAAAAAATAGGAGAAAATGAAAAAGTTTGTAAATGGGGAGGGGAGGAGTGGTGAAGGGAGGGCAGGGACAAGGGGAAAAAATAAGAACCAAGACCTGTCATGTAAAGGTACAAGATCCCAATGATGGACGTAACTGTGCTATATACCTAGGGTATACCAATGAACTCAATAAAAAGAAAAAAACTTAGTACAGAATATTAGTTGTTTATGTAATCAGTTTTAAGAATATTCCTTTAAAGGTGATTTTACTATACCAATTGAAAAAGGAATATTTTCTACCTGTAAGTATTGTGTTTTAATCCATAAAATAAAATAATGCTTCTCAGAAAGTACACAAAGAATATACACATTTGTTATTTTTACCTTCTCTTACTCTTGGGCAATGCAGCTGACTTCCTTGAATGTCATGTTGTTCTATCTTGTTCCAAGTGAGGTACTTACAAGAATCTGATGGAAGCTTTAAATAAGAAAGAAGAAAAATATCATCTGGCAATATGTAATTTATTTATTATTCTTCAAGTAAAAGCAATACAAATTTTGCCAAGTATTCAGGCAAATTGGAATCCAAATATCCAGTGCTATGGAAGTCATCTTAGTCCATTCTAAATTTTATGTTCCTAGTCAGCACTGTATTCACAACACCTGCAACTCATTTATGTTTGATGGCAAATAACATCACTGAATAAGTGTCTGTACCAATATTCCACTTACACAAGCTCTGATAAATCATCCTTTAATATTTATTGAATATTTCATGAGGCATCTCATTCTATTTTAGAACAGTTCTAATTAACACATCTTCGTTATGTAGGTTCTTTTCATTATAATTCATCAGTCTTACTCCAAATGTTCAAGGCCCACCCTTGCAAGTTACAAAACAGAATCCCTCTCTAATGTGATTACTATTTTCTTTATGTATTTTTATGTTTTATTAGTACATATTTGCAGTACAGTACATAATGTCTGTGTTCCTTAAATGGAGTTGGCACATGTATATAATGCATCTTAATTCCTTTTTCCATCCCCTTTTTCCTATTCTCCTTTCATTTTTCCCACCCTTCATCTCTTGATCTCTCTTCTCATTCTAGAAATAGCTATCTGCATACTTCCCATTGATTTTTATTTTGCTCTTTATTTATAATTTGGGTTTCTCACATAAGAGAAACCATGTGATATTTAAGCTTATATGTCTAATTTATTGCACTTGTTATGGTCTCAAGTTACATCCATTTTCCTACAAATGATTCAAGTTTATATTTCTTTATGGCAGAGTAGTATGCTATTGTGTGTAAAAACTACATTTTCTTTATCCATTCATCTGTTGAAGGACATGTAAGCTACTTCCAAAAGGCAGCTATTATGAATTGTGCTGCTATAAACATGGATGTGCAAACGTAAGTTTGGTAACATTTGTCATCTCCCAAAGTCATTCAATTATTACTCACAAATCATGCTTTATAAATTATTAAATAGCTTACTGGTTTTGCCTGGTGAAAATCCCAATTTATAAATAGTCTTGAAAATGTGTAGCCAGTACTGAATAAATATTTCTTATCTGGTCATTTTTCTTCTTCTGGACAGTACTTTACCTCTCAGATCATATGCTGAGATCACATTTGGAGCACTTTTATACTGTTTCCTAACAGTAAAGTTATAGTTGCTCTAAGTCCCCAGTTTTATAAAGCTTATGATTGTTTAAATGTTAACACATACACAAGTTATATGTCATGAAAAGAATATTATGTTAAATTTGTATATACTCCATAGATCCATTCTTCTGTTAACCAATGTTTTACGGATATATAAACTCATCAATCCAGAATATTAAAGGAAATATTATTAAAGTATTTGAAACAGTTGTCTTTATCTTATTGGCTAGAATTTCACATAGATTATGCTTTCATCTGTAAATTTGTCTCACTCATAAAAACACTAAAACTGGGCTGGGGATTTAGATCAGTGCTGCTGCTACCTGCCCTGCAAGCACACGGTCCCAAGTTTGAACTCAGTACCAAAAAAGAATAAAAATAAAAACACTAAAACCATTTGCATCATTAGATAAGCTTATGAGACTCTGGATTAAACCTTTCTTTAACTAAGAAAATTTAACAGTATTTCTTTCAGAAAGGACATCTCAAAACCTTTAGCATGCTAATATACATTGTTAGTCCATGCTATCAAGTATTCCTCCAGATATTTAGGTCATAAAAACTTTTACACATGGTGCAATACTTGTGATTAGAACATGTCATAGAGTAGAAATGAGAAAAGACTGCCATAAAGTGAATGGGAAAGAGGTGCATTAACTGTAGTACTTATTAACTTTTAACTGTAATACATATTAAATGACATTGATTGTTCCAATTAATATCACACTATAAAAGTAGAACTAGAGACCAGTGAGGACTGTGACTGCCATGTGCAGCTAGGCTGCCACCCCACCCCCAGCACCCCTATCCTCAAAGCAGAGCAGACTGGTGAGGCCTGCTAGCCCCGCCGGCACCCCAGTAGGTGCTCCCCCCACAACACACACACCCCTCAGGCCTCCTGGCTGTGACAGTGCCTAGACGCACACTACAGAGGCACAGGGGTTCATAAAGGCCATTGTACTGGACACCAGAAGATAGAGCAAAAGTGAACAACATAAAGAGGGTCTCATTCTCCTTAATGAAAACTGAAGCCCACTGATAAAGTAAAGAGAATCTGTGCCATAAAGGCACAGCAGACCACCATAGATGGTTAGGTTGAAAGGCTCACCTCTTCCCACCCAAACCTGGACTATCTTCAGGGGAAGGGCAGATGGAATCTGCAGTACAGCCTTGCAGAGTTTAACCCTGTAGGTGGTCAGGGAGCTCAACTTGGACCTTGCAGCCAGAAATCAGTCTGAATCTTAGGAGTCTACTGCTGGCTTGCTAAGACTAATTGACTTAGATCTGCACATTGCTGCCAACATCATCTATGGTGACAGCAGAGACATACCCTGAAGGAGGCCCTTCATTTTTATGCACCTTTTTTAAAATTATTTTTTTTCTTTTCCTATTATTTTTAATTTTAATTTTTTTAATTTTATTTTTTCATTCTTCAAATTATTCCTTTTTTTCTTTCTTCTTTTTTCAACTCAATCTCTTACTCTCCTACTTTGTACTTTATCTTCCTTTTTGTTCCTATTCCTGCCCTAATTTGGATTTCTTCTTTTTCCTTCACTCGATTGTCATTAGTTTCAAAGGAAAGTGAATATAATATGTAGCTTCCCTACTGCTCTTAAGTTGTCTTGTTCTGTCTTTGTTTTTACACTCTGTCTTTCCCTCTTGTCTTCAAGTTTCCCAGAGTTTGTGCTATCTTCCTATGCCCTCTGGCTTCACTTATAACCTCCTATCCTTCTACCTATATATCCCTCTCTTCCCAACTCCTTCTAAGTCCCCACATTGAAGGGTAAAGTTGCTATTTTGAAGAGTTTAGCCACTGTAACAATATTATAGGCTGATCCTCAATTTTGATTTAATTCACACAATTAAAGGTGATAGATTATAACAACCACAAATTTTCAAATTCTAAAATGTGCTTGATGTTATTGTGTTGCTGATTGTATCACTTGAACTAAGGTGTAGTGATTAATCTAATCAGTTGTCCTTTGTGGTATTATGAAAATGAGAATGTCTTTGAGTCATTAAACACTCAAAACCTAATAACCTGCTATATCTGGAAGATAGAGGTATTAACCAAGGAATTAAACCAAGGACAGTACCAACAACAAAAATAAAAATGAGAAAACACTTAAGCAAGGCACAAACACAAAAATAAATAAATCCGATAATTCACATCCTTGATCCATCTCTCTTGTGAATTTATGAGACTTTTATCTATTAAACATATTTTCTAGTCATGAATTTGAAATATGTCTATATTTCATTGTCTTAATTTGATTTATGGTATTATTTTAATAAAAACATTTAAAATTTTATGTGATGAAATCTAACAATCTTGCACTTTGTGACATCTCTGTGCTTTTATAAAATGGTTGTATATCTTTCTTCATTTTGAGATTCAAAAACTCCTTCAATATTCTTTTCCATGCTTGTGATGTTTAATTATTAGGTTCAACTCTTTCACACAACAAAAAAAAAGTTTAGTTTTATGGAGTGAAATGAACGTCTTTTCCCAAATACTTAAATAATTTTACCTTTATAAAAATTGATATGTGTATGTTAAATGTCATAATACTATATATAATGTATTTATAATAATTATACTATAGCATATATTTCCTAACTATATGTGAAAAGGAATATATACATCTTAGATAATTAAAAAAAAAAAAAAAGCAAGGCACAAATACAGACTTCTAGCTCACCAAGGGCAAATTCTGGGGAATATAAGGTGGAAAAGTTGGACAATCAACCACCAAGACACAATGAATTCATAGCACAGGAAGGAACAAAACAGATCAATCAGGCTCTAGAAAAATTCAAAAGAGAAATAATTTCCACAATGAAAGACATGATTAGAGGCTCTAGAATAGAAACAGATTTTAAAAAACACATGAATTCAGGACCATGATAGGAGTCATCAATGCCCAACATAGGAAAGAAACAGAATCCAAGAAACAGATTCAGATAGATATTCAGGAGATTAAAAAAAAAAAACTTTATTGAAAGTGTACACAACAGACTGACCCAATATGAAGACAGGATATCAGATATAGAGGACAATGGCAGTCAGTGACCTTGAAAAGAGAGATCACTTAAAAATAGTAAAGGACCATGAGAAATCAATCCAAGAGCTCCAAGAAGATAAAAAGAAGAATAATATAAGACTGATAGGGGTCCATGAAATAGCAGGAGAAAGTACAAATTACATAAAAAAATCTGTTCATAGGTGGCAGGGATTTAGTTTAGTGGTTCTAGTGCCTGCATCACAAGTGCAAGAACCCGAGTTCAATCCCCAGTACCAAACAAAACAGAACAAAAAATCTGTTCACAGACATAATGAGACAAAACTTCCCAAACTGAGCAAAATAATTTGACATACAGAGAAGTGAGGCACATAGGACTCCAACTAGCCATGATAAAAACAAAAAATCTGCACCTTGATATATAATAATCAAGATCTCAGAAATTTAACAGAAGAACAAAATACTAGAAGCAGTTAGAGAAAAGAAACAAATCACATGCAAAGGAAAGCCCATCAGAATCACAGCAGACTTTTCAATATAAACCCTCAAGTGTAGAAGTGTCTGGAGTGAAGTATTTCAAGCCCTAAAAGAAAACAACCTCCAACTTAGACTGATGTATCCCAAAAAACTCTTTCAAAATGGATGGGGAAATAAGATACTTCCATGACAAAGAACACCAGAGAAACTTCATGAATACCAAACCAGCACTCCAAACAATTCTAAGCAATATTCTAGAAAAAGAAAATGAAAGTCACAACACCATGAGGCCCAACAGAGCAAATCAA